TTTTTGCAATTCATTTTTTAGCAATTTGCATTCTATATTGATATGCAAACTTCGGGGATTTTCACTTTTATATACTTTATTTATAAGTATTCCAAAACTCGTGTTTAAATACGATCTACTTTAATTTTTATTATATGTGTATAAAAATTACTTATATGTGAGTTTAAATTTTGTATCTTTTTTATAGATCCCTGGTTTAGCTTTGAGTGCATTTCATATAATTCTCCCTGGCACTAGGCTGACATTTTTTATAATGCATATTTACCATATATAGAAGCTGCTATTTAATAAAAAGATAAAATAATACAAATGCACTTACCACTTTATAGAGAAATTGTGTCCTTTACCATCACATTAATATCCCAATGTAGTCAAAAAGCATAATGTTTATGACATCAAGAACAGTAATTTTCATCTTCAAGCAAAATGGATTCTTAAAATAGCTAATATTTTTAAATTGCAGCCATAATTTGTAATACAGGAATGTTGTAAATCCTATCTATATGTACAGTCCTCCCTATCTATGGAGCATCCATTGGAATGCAGGAATTTGCTGCACTCAATAGCTGACACATATTTAAAGATTTTGGCCACTGTAGGAAGACAGGGTACTAAGCTAGGTCGAGTATTGGTCTGACCCAGAATGGTCGTTCTTACGCTCTTACATACTCTGCATGAATTAATGTTAGATACAAACCAGGGAGCAAGGACACTGACTATATAAATAAACTGCACTAGGAAAGCAGAGAAGTTAACATGAATCAAGTAACCATTTCCAGTATTTTTTCAGGTGTTTATTAGACACACACTATTTTTTTTGTATTGGGGAAATTTAATAGATATTTATTGGTTAAAACCTAAAATCAGAAGCCCTACCTACCATTGAACTATAGAATATATTTTAGAAAGACATCTTGTCTTGTTTTAAAGACAGTAAATTATTAATTTGTCACATGATTTGGCTCACAATGTTGTTAACACTAATGGATCTGAAGCAGTTTTAGCAGCAATGGAACATTTGTAGACAATGAACCTTGGTCCACAGACAGGTCCATAGAGTAGCATGATTCAGTGAGAGGGTACGTCTACACTGCAAGCTTCTTTCGGAATAAGCTTTCCCAGAAGAAATCTTCCGGAAAAGCTCATATTGAAATAGATCATCCACACTACAGGGAAGTGGATTAGTCGGAGGCAGGCTCCCCTAATGTGGACGTGCTATTTCAAGTTAGAGGCCCAGGAGGCACTGGGAAGGAATAACTTTAGAATGGCCCTGGTGAAGAGCTATTTCGACATAGCAGCAGTGGAGTGTCTACATACACCCTCTCCCAAAAAAACTTTTTTCAGAAAAGGGCTTATTCCTCATGGAATGAGATTTACTGTCGTCAGAAAAAGCCATTTGTTAGTTTGACTTTCTGTCGAAATAACTCAATTGCAATGTGGACGCAAGTATTGGTTTTCAGGAATAACAACTGTTATTCCGGAAAAACGGTGCAGTGTAGACACACCCAGAGAGAAGTTGCAGCCAATTAATAGATACTGCTTTCTGCTATGCATCTCTCATAGAATCATAAGATTGGAAGAGTTCTCAGGAGGTCATCAAGTCCAACCCCCTGTTAAAAGCAGGACCAATCCCAACTAAACCATCCCAGCCAGAGCTTTGTCAAGCCAGGACTTAAAAACCTCTAGGGAAGGAGATTCCACCACCTCCCTCAGTAATATATTCTAGTGCTTCACCACCCTCCTAGGCAAATAGGTTTTCCTAATATCCAACCTAGATCTCCCGCACTGCAACTTGAGACTATTGTTCCTAGTTTTATCATGTGTCACCACTGAGAACAGCCTCTCTCCATACTCTTTGGAACCCCACTTCAGGAAGTTGAAGGCTGCTACCAAATCCCCCCTCACTCTTCCCTTCTGTAGACTAAATAAGCCCAAATTCCTCAGCCTCTCCTCATAAATCACATACTCCAGCTACCCCATCCAGCCTTCCGCTGGACTCTGTCCCATGCATCCACATCCCAAAGAGCTTTAAAATGAAGGATGAAACCAGCTTTAAAACATAAAACTATTACTCAGAATGGAGATCACTGCAAATGCTATGGTAACATCAGCTGCTATTATTGGCAATGGTCAAGTAATTTAATGATGGCTAACCCGAGAGCAGGGGTGGGCAAAAGAGCCTCCACGGCCTGGATCCAGCCCGCCAAGTGAGTAGAGCTGGCCTGTGCAGGGCCTGCTGCTCCCCCAACCCAATGAGAGCCTGGGGGCAGGGGAAGTGTGCAAAGTCTCCTCTTGCCCTGCCTCCGCCATGCAAGGAATGTGGGGTGCTTAAAAGTGCCACATACTCCTGGCAGGGCAGGAAGAGACTTCACATGCTCCCGCAGCCCCCAAACCCTCATTGGCCTGGGCAGGGAAGCATGTAAAGTCTCCTCCCGCCCTGCAAGGAGTGCAGCACTCGTAAGCACCGCACGCTCCTTGCAAGATGGGGGCAGGGTGGAAGGAGACTTCGCGTGCTACCGCTATCCCTAGGCCAATCAAGGCTTGGGAGCAGGGGAAGCACATGAAGTGTCCTCCTGCCCTGCAAGGGGCTTAGTATTTAAAGTTAACCACCAGCTGCGGTGCTCCCTTCAAGGATGGAGGCAGGGAGCGAGCAGCAACACATGCTCCCGTTCCCCAGGCCCTGATTGATCTGGGGGCAGCAAGGTGGAAAATGCAAAGTCTCCTCCCATTGCCAGGGAACCACCAGCTGTGGAATAGAGACTTTGTGTGCTCCCCTACTCCCAGATCAATCAGGGTCTGCAGATGGGGAAGCATGGAAATGTCCTGGCCCTGACCCTTCAGCCAGAGGCCCCGCCCCTTTTGGGGTGGCCCCGCACCACTTTAAAAATTTTGGAAGTGGCCCTTGGTCAAAAATTATTGCCCACGAGCATCATATAGATTACCACCGTCTACACGCTCAGCCTTTGAGGGGTGTAAATTCTAGTGCACACTAGGGTGGCTCATGCTAACTACGATCATAACAATATCTCTGATAAATAAGGACCCTGTGCCTACGTGGAATACATATGTCTTGGGTGCTTATACAGCTATACCTATGTAGAAGCGACTGTCTAGGAAGGAGTACGGCAGAAAGGGATCTAGGGGTTATAGTGAACCACACGTTGAATATGAGTCAGAAGTGTGATAAAAAAACATGATTCTGGGATGCATTAACCGGCGTGTTATGAGCAAGACAAGAGAAGTCATTCTTCCGCTCTACTCTGCGCTGGTTAGGCCTCAGTTGGAGTATTGTGTCTAGTTCTGGGCACCGCATTTCAAGAAAGATGTGGAGAAATTGGAGAGGGTCCAGAGAAGAGCAACAAGAATGATTAAAGGTTTAGAGAACATGACCTATGAGGGAAGGCTGAAGGAATTGGGTTTGTTTAGTTTAGAAAGGAGAAGATTGAGGGGGGACATGATAGCAATTTTCAAGTACGTACATGGGTATTACAAGGAGGAGGGAAAAAACATGTTCATCTTAGCCTCTCAGGATAGAACAAGAAGCAATGGGCTTAAACTGCAGCAAGGGAGGCTTAGGTTGGACATTAGGAAAAAGTTCCTAACTGTCAGGGTAGTCAAGCACAGGTGCCCTGGTGGCCACTACGTCCATAGTAATCACAGCTTAAATGTGAGATAGCGTCCATTCAGTGTAGATGCTATCTTTCAAAAAAGAAGATCGCTTATTCGATGTGCTTTTGCTGTGTAGAAGCTCTCTTTTGGAAGGAGTTTTTTCAGAAGATCTCTTCCGGAAAAGCTTCTTCTGAAAGAAGCCTGCAGTCTAGACATAGCTTCAGTGTGTTATGCATGTGTCTATCATAGAATACTAGGACTGGAAGGGACCTTGAGAAGTCATTGAGTCCAGTCCCCTGCCCTCATGGCAGGACCAAATACTGTCTAGACCATCCCTGATAGATATTTAGCTAACCTACGCTTAAATAGGTCCAGAGATGGAGATTCCACAACCTTCCTGGGCAATTTATTCCAGTGTTTGACTGCCCTGACAGTTAGGAACTTTTTCCTAATGTCCAACCTAAACCTCCCTTGCTGCAATTTTCTAAACTAAACAAGCCCGATTCTTTCAGTCTTCCCCCATAGCTTATGTTTTCTAGACCTTTAATCATTGTTGTCGGTCTTCTCTGGACCTTCTTCAATTTCTCCTCATTTAACACTATAGAGATGTTTCAGAAAATGATCGTATTAAGTGAAAATAATGGAAAAGGTGGGAGTTGCGTTTCAAGCGGTGGTGTCTGTTGGGACTGGGACATAAGGTTGGGGGAGAAAGGGGACTGGGTTACAGCAGGGAGGGGAGGTGTTTGGCTCTGGGGAAGGGAAGGGGAGGAGAGAGGAGGGGGATTGGGTTGGGAGTATGCCTCTCTGACAGGTCTGCCAGGACCTGCACTGTGTCTGGTGAGGGGGAGTCAGCAGAGAACAGCGCGGCGAGCAACAAACCCTCCGCCGGTTTGCAGGGAGGTGGGGGAAGCTCTGCACAGCCACCGGCAATGGGTCAGCTGGGGAAATCGTGTTATTTCGGGGATGGTCATGTAATTCAAAAAACGTTCCCTAAAAAAAAATCATGCTATCGTGAAAACGTGTTAAGTGGGCACGTGTTAAATGAGGAATTACTGTACTCCAGTTGAGACCTACTCAGCACAGAGTAGAGTAGAAGAATGACTTCTCATGTCTTACAACACCTCTCTTAATGCATCCCAGAATGATGCTTGTTTTTTTTGCAATAGGGTCACACTTTTGACTCATATTGAGCTTGTGGTCCACTACAACCCCTAGCCACCTTTCTGCAGTACTCCTCCTAGACACTTACTTCCCATTCTGTATGCATATCTTAAAAACCAGAGCAGACGGACTTTTCTGTTTTCTGTAATTCAATTAAACCTAACAGAGCAAGATGAAGCCCTTAGCAGGGATTATTTAGAGCAACACAAGTTGCGTTCTGTTGCACTTACAATGCGGGCTTTCCTTTGCGCCAATCCTCAGCAGGATCCTAGCGATAGGCACATTATTGGTCAGGATGGCAATGTCCAAGGGAGTTAATCCCTCACTGTTCGGTGTATTTAGATCCAGCTCCTCTGGTGTATATTGATAGAGGAGAAGGTGAACGGCATCCAAATCCTGCTGTTCCACAGCCTCAAACATAGCTTCGTTGCACTGGAGATTCTGTATAGCAGCAACAACAGAAATTAGTTACAATTCTTCCTATGTCAGCACAAAGTTTACTTTGTAGCCTGTGAGAGTGACCAATGGCCTGCAGACCAAGGCGTAAGGACTACAGGAAGGGCCCTGCCACTAGCTGAGTCTCAACTGGAGATGGGCAAATTGTTTTCAGCAAAACTCACCTCCCATTGCTTCTGGTTTCATGATACCCTTGAATTCCGTTCAAGTTTGTTGGAAGGTTCAGTAAGGTTCACCAACCTTCCAAAGCAAATCTGAGGAGATTTACAGGTTTGTCCTAAAACCAAACCACAGAAGTGATCTTCTGTGGTTTACATATGAAACTGGATGAAAGTTTGTGGTTTTTGCAGAGTGTTTGACTGAGTTTGTTGAAACCCCCTAACTCAAATCAGAAATTGGGCGAGGGGTATAACCTGAGGTCATCAAAATCCAATTAATACAAAACACAACTCAACAAGTGTTTTGAAGCTTTATCATGAGCTGATACCAGCTTCTGATTGTTCTGAAATTTCTCATAAACTCTGAATGCCTCAGGGCTTACTATTATTTGCTATTCCATGGCTCAAGAAAACCCAGTCATGAAGCGTTCCTGTTTGTGATAGGTGCTGTACAAAAAACAGAACAAAAAGATGGTTCCTGCCACAAAGGGCTTCCAAACAAATTATAAGACAAGAGACAGCAGATGGCTATAGACGGATGGGGAAGTACCAATACAAAAAATAGGGATAATATTTGTCAGTATGATAGGCACTGGTCTCTGCACGCTAGCAGCGTATCTGACTTGTCTTTGCTGCTGTAAGAGGCTGGAATTATAACTCAAATTTTGCTCATAACCTGACTCCCATCCACAGACACACACAGACCCCTCTAGCTCAAGTTAAATGGTATGTCATTAATGCTAGCCCATGCGTGCATTGTTGCCTACATCCTTTTTTACCTTCCACATACAACCCCTCTCCCCCCCACATGTGTTTATTTGTGCTTTTAACCTGTGTTTGCTTCAACAGCTGTGGATACAAGTTAAAACCTGAGCTGTGCTTTAGCTCAGACTGCAATTCACACACTGTGCAGTGAGAACTCAAGCAAGTTCACTCAAGCCCTGATGGTCCTCCCATGCCCTTCCCACAATTCCCCCAAGGGACAGACAAGTCCTTCCACGGCTGACAGAATTGACTTGGAAAGAATCCTAGTCTGTCTCAGCACAAAGAACCCTGGGCTATCCTCCGCTTCCCCCTCCCCCAAGAGACACAGAAGTGACAAACAGTAATGATACAATAATGCAGGTAAAGCTTTGCTGTAGAAACACTCATACTCACACAGAGGGCAGGCTAACCCTTAGAATTGTATCAGAGGGGTAGCCGTGTTAGTCTGGATCTGCAAAAGCAACAAGGAGGTTGATAGATTTCCACTCTATACGTGGTTGATAGATTTCCACTCCATACGTGGAAAACATCCTGACTGAATTAACCTTGTTATCTTGAGCCTTATTCTGGCCTGCATATTTATACCTGCCTCTGGAAATTTCCACTACATGCATCTGACAAAGTGGGTCTTTGTCCACGAAAGCTTATGCTCCAATACAGCTGTTAGTCTATAAGGTGCCACAGGATTCCTTGTCGCCTTAGGATAGTATAGACCCAGTGGTATGAGTACCTTTAGGGGCACTTGGAAGAAGTTTTGGGGGGGAGGCACGTCAACACAACTGAAATTTGGAGAAAACTGAATTTTTGTTTTACGTTTTATAGCACTTTATTTTTGTACTCTTTACACCCAAAAAATTCATCGCCTGCCCGGCTACAATTAAGTTGTTTAAACAAACGTGTTGCAATGGTAGAAATAATTTTGTGTGTCTGAAAACTGTAGGTACTGGGGGTACTTATAATTTTTTTTTGAAAAAGGGGCACTTTATAAAAAAAAGGTTGAGAAACACTAGAGTAGACATAGCCACAACTACTTAGCGCCTGTTAATGCAATCACTTCTCTGTTGCTGTGCAGTGTAGTCCATCTCAGTGGAGCTCATCTGGGTGTGTCTAGACTACAGGTTTTTTTTCCGAATAAACGTCACCTGCATCTAGATGGCAGCTACGTTCTTTCAAAAGTAAATCAAAAGAATGTGGCAGTTTTTTCGATCGTGGTAAACCTCATTTTTCGATCGTGGTAAACCTCATTTTGTGCGGAATAATGTCTTTTTTTGAAAGTACTTTAGAAAAAAGGTGCTATTGAATGCAAACTGCTTTTTCGAAAGAGAGCATCTAGACTCTCTTTAGAAAAAGCGGCTTGCTTTTTCGAAAAATCTGCTTGTAGTCTAGACGCTCTCTTTTGAAAGAGGCTTTTTCGAAAGAGGCTTATAGTCTAGATGTAGTCTCAGTAAGAAGAGGTGGGGTGTGACCAAAGTAAAGTAGATTAACTATCTGGATGCCTCCAAAATACCAGTAGGTAGCCAAATAACGTGTATCTGTGTGGTACTCAGGAAAATGCAGATTGTGTGGGTGAGTACAGGCAGTCCCCGGGTTACGTACAAGATAGGGACTGTAGGTTTGTTCTTAAGTTGAATTTGTATGTAAGTTGGAACTGGTACATATTGTAGGGGAAACTCTAGCCAAACATTTCTCCAGAGCTCAGTTCTATTCTCCCACACCTCACTTCCCTCAGTCCTTTATTCTCAAGCTGAGGTGTCTGCTGAGAAAAGCTGCTCCGTGTCTCCCTGGTCTGCTGTGGGGGGCGCTAGCTTCGCATCTCCCTGGTCTGCTGGGGGGAAGCAGCTAGTGCGGGGTTGCCTCACCCCGTTTGTAAGTAGGGATCCGATGTAAGTCGGATCCATGTAACCCGGGGACTGCCTGTACTTGAAAAACAGACCCCATGATGTGTTAGCATCTTCTCCATTACTCTAATCTAGAGAAGAACAATTAGACCCTCTTTCCTATCAACAATACAGATAAGAACTCAGAGATGAGAGAAAGGAAGTGTGGTAGGATGCAAAGAAACTTATCACGCCCTAATTGAGCTGGGGAGAAGCAGGTGCAGGAAGCTAGCACGGCCTGCAGGGCTTTTGTTTATGAAAACATCCTTCTAGTGCTCTGCAGCGGTGACACATTATTTGCCAAGTTACTTTAAATTCTTTTTCCCTGTCTCTTTGTGATAATGCCCTAACAGCTTTCTTCTTTTAAAAGAGAATTATTAGTAGCAACTGGCTCAGCTGTGCAAAGACAGCTCCGGATGTTGCCCTACAAGGAAGCTCCAGTTCAGGTGGACTTACTTTGCTGATGCGAGCATTAGAAAAAGAGTTGGATGAGAGAGTGAGCAAGTAAGAGAGAGAGAGAGCGGGCTCTGTATTCAGGACTGCAGCTTGGTTCTCCCTCGCTGTTGGAAGCAGAAATGTTATGGAGGCAGCCTGCTCAACACACTCACTGATAATCCTGTTCGGCCTACTGAAGGAGGGGCATTGCTCAACTCTGTGTTCAGGGCATCACTGCTGCAGGAGGAGTCTGCGGGAGCATGGGAGACTAAAAAGGGGGCAAATGAAGGGACTATGGAGAGTCCAAGGATGGATCTCCAGAAGAAAATAATTAATGCATGTGAAAGGGAAGCTCTGATAACATTGAATTCAGCTGGAACTGCACATGAATTGTACCTCGGAAAATCAGGCCCAAGATGTCTCGAGTTGGGCAGCCAGAAATTCATGGATATTTTGGTGGACTTAGACATACACTAGCTTTTCAAGGCAGTTCTGCTAGTACATCTTTGATGCCTGTCCAAGGCATTGTTGTATTAAAATTTGGCTCATTATTCCACATTGTGTGGTGGGCTCTGTGATCTATGCTAAGCACTAGCATAGATATGCTACCCACCTCCAGATATGAGCTCTGAAGCAGATCAAAGACCGAAAATAAAAAAAAAAATTCGCAACAATATTTCCCGCAGAATAAGAATTTCACAATTTGTTTGGGCTCAGACAAATGTTTTGAAATGTTTTGTTCCCATTTCAACTTCAAAAAATATTATAATTTATATGGTACATTTTGAAATGAAAAATCAACATGGTCCTAATGTTTTGACCTTATCAGAACACCTGTTTTGAGAGTTTCGTCTTTTAAAAAACAAGCCTTTGTTGAAACAAACTTGTTCCAGTGCCAAGTTTAGTTTTCAGTTAAATGGTATTTTCTGTTGGAAAAACAGAAAAATTTGGACTAGCTCTACCCATAATGTTCTAAACAAGCTCAGAACTACCTTAACCCATGTACAGTAATTTTATTGGAAGCTAACAGTACATTATGCTTTCTGGTTAGAGAAAACATTGACTTTGTTTAACACGAGAAATACAATAAATATTGTGACTACTGAGATGTTCTCTAAAAGTTTAAAAGGGCAGCCCAAATAAGTGACACTGTCATGATGTAGTAGATATAGTGGTCCACTAGAATAGAGATTGGCAGTATTTAAAATGGTCCTCACCCAAAATTTTCACCCATTTCATTTTCCCTCCTGTACCACAAATCAAAAACATTTGCATTCAGCTATTCAATTCTCTCTGCGGAGCTTGTATAACGATCACATCTGGGTCTTTCAAAAAAGGACTTTTTATATGTTTTATCTTGAGAGCCCAAGACACAAAAGAGAGAGGTAAAAACTCAGGAAAGACACTCAAGAAAACTAATTAATTCTCCTTGTATGAACTGTAAGGAATTCTACTAACCAGATTTCATACATCAATCCAGGTGCTTTGATGCTAGTCGGATGGGTACAAAAGAAACATCTTAAAATGATAGATGAACACGTGGTGGGTAGTTCGACACATAGAGAGAGATCATCATCTAGTTATCTAAAGCAGAACTGTAATAGTTTTAAAGGCAAACTGTCCCTGGTGAGGGCACAGCTAAAATACACGAAAGAAAAGATCCTGTCACGTATTTCTCAATTACAAGGCAAAGCCTAAAATGAGAGAAATTTTTACTGCAATGCAGCAGTTGCCTTGCACCACGTCGCAG